TTGTAAATTCTTCAGAATCCAAAATGAAAGCGCGTCACTTCTTTACTGTTCAGCGCAAGGAGGAAGTACAGTTGCTCTCCACTCCCGAGCAAGCAGGGGAAGTAGAGGCATTGGCTGGGGACGGATTTTCATCACGGGTTTGCGTCACAACCTGGCAGGGAAGGACCAAGGATTCAGATTACTGAAGAATCGAGGGTTTTTAGAGAAATTGGTCTATTGGGGTTTTTCCCAATAACTCTTGTGACTTTTTTTTTTTTCCTAATGATTTGAGATGACATGGATGGACCTCAAGGCGTCATGCTAAGTGAAATAATATGACATCTCTTATATGTGGAATAAAAAAAAAACTCTGATATTATGGATATAGATTGGTGGTTGCCAGAGGCAAGCATGGTGGAGGTGGGAGAAATACGTGAAAGGGGTATTAATTTATTTACAAAAAGAAGAAGAAACAACTAGGGCTGTATTTCTCTGATGACAAATGTGCATGCTCCTTCTCCGGTACTTAAAATGGTAGATGCCAATCCTTGGTGCTTCCTAAGCATTTGAAATTGGTAGAAAGGAAAAAGAAACTGAATCCAGTCATTTAAAGAGAGCCTTGAAATTTTCTTTCACACATTCTTTATTTTTTGTTACCAAGCATGGCTTTTGTTCTTACAGAAGGCACTGCTTTAGGTTTCTGGGACTTCTAGGTTATGATGATTGGGATTTATTGGTCTCATACCCTGAGAGCTGGCAATGGTAGAGGGACTAGTGATACCTGCAGATGGCCTGTGGTGTGCCAGTCCCGGCGGGGGGCCGTCCTCATGATACCGTGTTTAATCTTTACCACACCTTTGCTGAGGGTTTTTCTCCTGCAAAACACTTCTGACTCGCTACAGCACCACCCTGTCCCACCTCCTCGTAGATACAGCCAGATATTCTTGGTAAGATCTTGTCATTTCCTCTTAACTCACATTGCTTTCCATTGTATCTCTTTTCGTTTTTCAGTTTGATTTCACTTATTTTGTTTTTAACTAATCTCCCTGTGACATTTATAACATGGCTTCAATGGGAAANTTTTTTTGGCACCCTCTCGTATACATACATATATATGGAATAGCATGTGTCAGGTCCCTGAAATTAGTATGAGGTTGGCACACGTACATGGAATTGTAAACTAAAGTCACTTGAAAGACCAGTTCGCAGGGTCCAGATTATGACATGCCTTTGTAGGTCCTACTAAGGATTTTAGATTTGTTTTTTTCTCAAGGGCAAAGGCATGATGTTGTAATACTGTTTAATTCTCTTTTTCTGGATCTTTATTATCATCATCATCATCATCATCATCATCATTATTCTTTATTCTTTATTTTTTTTACTTCTCTTTTAAATGCTGGTGTCCTGTAGATCCTGTGCATAGACCTTTCCTCATGGCGCACACTCTGCACACACTCCGGATGAACTGTCCTACCCCCGTGGCTTCGTTGTCACTAGAAACTGCTGATTTTCAAACCTTCTAGATCCATATACCCACTTCCCTTCTGGGCATCTCCACCTGGATGGTCATAACTGCAAGCTGGGGAACAGTATTTCTGTCAGTTACATTTTTATGAAAACGAAAGCTGCAACTATATTCTTAAACTGGGAATAAACTTCACTGGAATTTTATTTTTCCATCAAACCACATGAAATTACTGATATGCAATTATTTTTGGTTTAAAATAATACCTTCTTTTTGAGGAAAGTGTCGTTTTTCATGTTCTGTAGAGTGTTCTTAGTAATGTGCCTTATTTTTGTTTTTCTCTCTAGTTTGGTGCCTTGCCAGCTGATATAAAAACTTCTTTGCCGCTGTCAAAAGACAATGCAGCCAGCCACCCAGCAGTCCCCCCTGTAGCACCACTGCCCTCCTTTGGAGGCGTGCCTCCTCCTCCCCCTCCACCCCCGCCTCCACCCCCTCCTCCCCTTCCTGGAATGCCCATGCCGTTTGGTGGTCCTGTGCCGCCTCCACCTCCCCTGGGGTTTCTCAGCGGAGGAATCACCCCTCCTCCACCTACCCTCCCATTTGGGTTAAAACCAAAGAAAGAATTTAAACCTGAAGCCAGCATGAGAAGATTGAACTGGTTAAAGGTAAAACAGAAATAAATGGAAGAAAACATACTGTTACCTAGATGAAAATTTTATTTTATTTTTACTTATATTTATTTCCAATGGGAACCCTAACCAAAGTGACATTAAATAAACAGGTGTTATTTTTCAGAGTTTTCTGGTTGATAAAATTTGGTGGGAGGTACTGTTAGTTGTTGCAGTGGGATCTGATTTATAATTAAATTGATCATTCATCATGGTCATGACTGAACCCTAAATTTACGAAGTATTTCTCAAAAGTAGAATAAGTTAGTGTTCTTAGGAACTTCCCTGTGTTGGTAGCCATTGGGAAAAGTAACCCTACTTGTCAGAGCTGATACTTAGGACATAGCAATTCTGAACCCTGCAGAAACATGGTTTTCTGGTCCATACCCTGGGAAATCCTGTAATGGACCCTTCACTTGAAGAGTCATAGTCACCTGAGCATTGTTAAACACTCTGGGAAGTATAACTGAGAGGAAGCAAACTTCATTTTATTCAGCTTCAATCCCCAACTTTTTCCCTAATAAAAGCTTAACTCCCTGCAGAACTCATATTTCATTGAACACACTTTGGAGAAAAATCTTACGGGGATTACTTCATAAACATTGGCTGGCAGCTGTGGGATGCGGGTCTGAGCCTGGTGATTGGGCTGGGACAGATGAAACACCCAACTATTTATGAGTCAGTCTTCTCTCTGATTGCAGATCAGACCTCATGAAATGACGGAAAATTGTTTCTGGATAAAAGCAAATGAAAATAAGTATGAAAATGTGGATTTGCTTTGTAAGCTTGAAAATACATTTTGTTGCCAACAGAAAGGTAAGTTTAACATCTTGGTTACTTGTTAATTTTAGTATTTTGACACTGCCACTTTTTATATGTTAGCCACTAGAAAGCATTATTTTAAGAGTCCTATACATATTTTTAATTTACTAATGAGTAAATAAATGATCTAATAAAATGAAATGTTTAAAAAGCAAATTTTATTATTTATAATACCAAATGAGCAATTTTTGAAATGCAAATGATTAATACAAAACTTAAATTTTCTATGTAATACCTTTTTAAAAGATGTTCTAAATTAGATTTTCATACAGGAGGATGTTTTCAGAGAGAATTTTGGCATGAGAATTCCTGTTTGTCAATGAGAAATAGTAAAACAAAAACAAAATGTGAACCTTCCTCTAGTCAGAATTTCACCACCCTTCAATATTATAGTGACTGTCACATAGTTTAATTAGTGTGAGTCACATGGAATAGAAATATCAATTTTATAGAGTATCTTGAATGTTAGCTTGAAATAGAAGTATATTAGTAAGATACATATTATTTTGTTAAAAGTAATGGAATTTATATTTCAAATTGTTTTGTGATAGCTTTTATCTGTTCAGTGTGATTTTTTAAAAAATTATATTTAAATATTACTCTTGTCTGAAAATTGAATTTATCTCATCCAGTTTCATGCTGTTAATTTTTAAGTATTATGTGTTACTTTCACATCCTGTCGTAGATAAGTGATTACCTTTTAATTTTCAAAAAGGAACCCTTTTCAACTGTAGGCTTACGCCACTTATGTTACTGGGCTCCTTGAGCACAGAAAGAGCTGGAGCGGAGTGATTATACTGGATGGAGATAGAAGGCTTGGTGTAGAGAGAGAATTGACTTCTTAAAATGCCTACTGCATACTAGGCACCATGCTAAATGCTTTATATATCTGATTTGATCTTTACAGCAACCAGGGCTATTGGCAGATATTAAAAAGTTATTTGCGTTACTTTGAAATGTTTTCAAAAATATAATTGGAAATTGGAAACTCTTTCTAAAAAATAATTACAAGTTAGAAACACTAAAAAGTGACTGTAAATTAAGGTAGCTGTGTAAAATTTGTGGTAAATCTATTTTTGAGCAATGTTTGTCTTTTGTTTTGTTTTGTTTTGTTTTTGTTTATCTGGAAAATATATATATTTTTCAACATAGTTGACTTTCAGTATTATAGAGTGCTGTTGGTCTTGACCAAAACAGTAAAAATGATATACTGTGATCTTTGAAAACGGGGAATTTTCTTAGCAGGCTTATCTTAGCAAAATTTGTGAAGTAAGCAGATCTTAATTTTACCTTCTGATTATGGAGAATCAAAAATTTTTTTGAATAAGATTAGTGTACTCTTTAGGCAATCAAGAAAAATATATGGCAGTTAAAATGTGTATTTACATGTAAAACGCTTCAGAATTTCAGATTTTATAATCTGGCATTGATTAGTTTCCCCTTTCCTTTCCTAGTAGGTGGAAATGGAAGTACCTGGCAGCTATTTAAGTAATGCTTTCATCTAGCTACTCTCTCCTTTTTTTTCCCCCTCTTTACTCTGATTACTTTCTTAATTAATGAGGCTCAAAAGGGAAACTTGTTAGCATGTCTTTAATTTAGCTGTAGTGTTAGCCCTAAATGAAATAATTGGACCTTTAAAAAATTCTTAAGTCATCTAACTTTAGCCTTGAGATTCAAGGTTAGGAAAAAAAAAACAATGTATTTGCTCAATCTAATACTAGTTTTTCTTTTTTTTAAGAAGATTTTATTGGGGAATTGGGGAGGGGGACAGTGTTGGGGAATTGGGAAAGGGGACCGGCCAAGTTGTTGTTCTTCAATCTTAGTTGTGGAGGGCTCCGGTCGCCATCTGGCTTCCCGCCGGCAGCTCATGGCTTCTAAGCTCAAGGTGCTGTGTTCAATCTTGGTTGCGGGTGGGTGTAGCCACCATCCCATGCGGGAGTTGAACCCAGCAACCTTGTTGTTAAGAGCACAGGCTGTATCCACTGAGCCATCCAGGTGGCAGCTCAGCTCCAGGTGCCGAGATCAGTCTTAGTTGCGGGCAGGTGTAGCCCACCATCCAATAGGAAGTCTTGTTAGGAACATGTGCTCTCACCAGCTGAGCCATCTGCCACCTGCTGGCAGCTCAGCAGCAGCTCAGCTCAGGTGCAGCATCTCTGGCCCATGTGGGGATCAAACCGGTGGCCCTGTTGCTCAGAGCTCGCGCTCTTAAGCCAACTCTTAACCAACTGAGCCACTCGGCTGGCCCAATCCAAGACTAGTTTTAAAGGCGAAGGTGAGGAAATGATGATCATTTCTCAGTACTCCGTACTCGCGTGCCTCTCTGTTTTGCATGTGCCTCCCCTCTGCCCCGAATCTCTTTCATTTGACTTAGAGGCTGGCAGAGGCCTATGGCTTCGATTTTCTCACCACAGCTGCTACTCTTTCTTTTCTGTGACAGTAAGTGATATTTGCATGGAGAACAGAAAAGATGGGAAGCCTGGGGTTGTCACCCTGGGCAAGGCTAACATTTCACAATGCCAATCGGAGACGCACTGTGGAGGTGACTGTGTTTTGGTCTGAATTTTAAAGCATAACTCCTAGAAAGCATTGTTTGAGGTACCTCAATTTAGCGTGCTTTTTGTCATGACTAGTAGTTA